TGGCAAATCCTCCCTCTTCAAGTTGGCGATCCAACGACCAACCCGTCCGTGGAGGATCAGGAATCAGAAAGTTCACTGCTGGAAGATGGCAGGAGGGAGGGGTTACTATATTAGGGCAAAAATGGCCGCTCCCAGACTCAGTGATTGGATTAACGCTAAATTCATTAAATCACTGCAAACGTATTAGTTTTAGGTATAAATAATGATCTATTGGTTGTTCCTGGCTGAGCGGACTTTTCCTTTAAAATAAACTTCTTCTCTGTCACATCGCCACCATATCTGCTCACCGAACGACAGAAACGTTCATTCAATCATTGCTTCCTTCTGGCTGTCGGTCGCTAAGGACGGATTGGTTGGACAGGTGTACTCACCTGAGCAGCAGAGATCTGCTGCTCCTCCAGAGTCACCATGTGTCTCTTCTTCTCCCGACTTGATGCAGGCTGAGGTTTTATACCATCATGTCTCCTTTATGTTGATCTTTCTGTTTTGCGTTTTTCTCGTCTCTCTGCAGAAATGGCGGAACGTCACGACGTCCAGCTCATCCTACGGATAGCCCGGGAGCTGGTGCACAGAGTCCAGTCTCTGATGGACAACAAGGAACTGGTGTGACTGGGAGGACGGCGTGTGCAGCCTAGTGTCAGAGAGACGGGTTCCTGGCCCTTAGGGGCCCCGCTGGAGGCCCCGGAGTTCTGTTTACATGTTCCTTCACATGGAATGCCCATGGTGTCTGTTCAGACATGTGGATTTGTCTGCATGCTAGTGAGTTTAATCACACTGTGAACACATTCTTCAGTCCCCAGTCCAACAGCGTGTGCGTGCATGAAAACACTCACACGGAGCGCCGGCTGCTCGCCAGCTGTGGCGCAGTGCTGCAGGAGGCCACCAGAGGTCAGCATTCACACACCGCATGGTCAGAGACAGAAGACTTTGCCACGAAGATGCTTTCATCCGTGACCAAATGAACTGTGCCAACCACTGTTTTCTACAAGCACGCGTGTTTTTAGCTGCTGGCCCCATTTTTAGCTTCTGTTCTTGTCTGATGTCTCGTTGTTACACAAATGTTGCCTTTACTGACAGCCCAAGGTACTTAGATGCACTTTTCTCTGAGAGTTTCCTATTGGTTCTAATGAAGGAGGATGAGTTGCAGCCAGTTTTCCTGCACATGGTGGCAGATATTTAAAGCACGTGTGGAACAAAAACAGAAGAGCACAACAGAAAAGGGAAAAGCACAGAAAAAGGCCTCTGATGGAGGGAAGCAGCTTCTAAAGCTGCCTGGACCAGAGTCAGAGCGTTCAGGGTGACCAGATCCGCCGGTCGGTCCATGCAGGGTCTGTCCATCACAGACACAGTGATACCTGAGGGAAACCAGTGAAGCCAGCAGCCAACGCACTGGATGGGCTTCCCCAGACTGGGATTTAATTCTATTCTATTCAGTTTATTTCTATAGATCC